AGTGAGTGATAGGTACCAATCATTGAAAATGCTAGTTTCCTGACCAGGGGCGGACTGACCATTCGAGCACTCGGGCACTGCCCGAAGGCCCGGGGTCAGTAGAGGGCCCCATGAAATGTCCCTGGTACCTTTTTATAGGCTTTTTTGGGTGTTGAGTGTGGGCAAGGACACAGGGGCCCCATGATCCCCTACTGCCCGGGGGCCCCATGAGTTGTCAGTCCACCCCTGTTCCTGGCAGACTCTGGCTTTTAAAGTGACCTTCCCATGAAAGTTGTTAAAGCAATTCCTTGACACTTGTACAAGAAGACTGCAAATACCTTTCCAGGTGCTGGCATCACCATTCTCAAGTTCTCATTCCCTGAATTCTGTTTGGAAACTGACACTTCCAGGTGTGTCAATTTCCTGGGTCCCCAACAGCTCTCAATGGTTCCTCCCACTGACCTTCAGAGTGCACAGTAGTGATGTGAAGGTCGGGGGGGGGGGGGGAACCAGCAAGAACTGAGGAGGAACCATGGAGATAGAGCCTCCCAGAAGTGTCCATTTCCATACAGACTTCGAGGGGCAAGAACTTGTGAAAGGAACAGTGTTGTGAGCACCTGTAGGTATATAGTCTTCATTTACAAGTAACAGGGTTTGACCTATTATTTTTTGTGACAGGACACCTTTAATACTTTTGAAGGTCAGGGGGAACCAGTGAGAGCTGTGGAGCAACCAACGAGAAGCAGCCTCCTGGAAGTGTCCATTTTCGTACAAACATTGAGTGACAAGAACTTGTGAAAGGAGCAGTTTTTGGCAATGGGAGCACCAGTAGGGGAGTATTAGCGTTTTCGTTTGCAAGTAACAAGGTTTGACCTATTTTTTGTCATAGGACACCTTTAATACTTTCAAAGGTCAGGAGGAACCAGTGAGAGCTGAGGAGGAACCAAGGAAATGGAGCCTTCTGGAAGAGTCCATATCCGTACAGACTTTGAGGGACAAGAACTTGTAGAAAAAGAACAGTGTTTAGCAATGTGCGCACCAGTATATTAATATTTAGAGTTTTCATTTACAAGTAACAGGGTTTGACCTATTATTTTTTGTGAAAAGACCCCTTTACTACTTTGACTCACTGACCAGGAACAAATATGCAGTAGGATGACTTGAAGTAAAAATCCTGATCTGTTTGCTTCATATGGGTCTACATCTCAAAAAGTGGATCAGCACGACAGCCAGGCAACTTGCATTTTCAGAAGTAATTGTCATCAGTGGCATTGTTTCCCTTTATAAACACAACAAAATAAATTTGTAAGATGATCCCTGACTTCATTCTAAAAATGCTAGTTACCTGGCTGATGTGTTGGCTCACTGCCTTTAGAATTTTCTGTATTACTGACCTGGAACAAGTATGTAGATCTAGACTTCAGTCTTCACTAACTACATACTTGTTTTGTGTCCGTATATACACAAAGTCATAAGATTGGAATGACTAATCAGACACTAGCACTTTCAGAAACAGGTCAGCACTGGCCACCTCCATATTTTTCAGGGCTCATACCTCAGACACGGGAGGTGTCACTTCACGTGTTATCTCCGAAACTGCATAATAATGTGGCTTGTTCCATAAGGGAAATAAGCATTTCAGACACTCTCCAAACCTGAAATGTTTATCATGTAATATTGACCAGTTCTACGCAGCAAAAAAAAAAAAAAGTCATAAACATTAGTTTGTGGGAAACAGTGGACGATTGGCGTGTTGAAAATTTTGTGGTTTGGCTGAATATATGCATTTAGAGATCCACATTGGTTTTAAAAAGCATTGGTTACATTTTTTATGTTGAAGCATATTGAAACCCAAGAAAAATTTGGAATATTGCAGTTTACCAGTCCATAGATGTGGGGGCTGCATTCACTTTCCCGTATCTTTACCTGATGATCCTGCCAGTAACACATTGCCTGTCTTAGGGTGACAAGGCTCACTCACTGTGCTGTAACAATAACGACGACAACGGCACAGGCAAATTGTACAAGAAGTTAAGAGTTTGCAGGATTTCTGGCAGAATCTACAGGTATTATCTCCATTAATAAACAGATTTAACTGAAAATTTTCAATGAGACCAAAAGGGAGCAATTAAGAGATGTTCATTGGCAGGGCTGCCATTAGAAACCACAGGACCCCATACAGCCAACCTGACAGGTTTTAAAAAAAAAAAAAAAGGAAAAAAAAGAAGTATACAGTTTACTATGCTTCAGGTATGAATAAACACAGTGAGTGATAGGTACCAATCATTGAATAAACACAGTGAGTGATAGGTACCAATCATTGAATAAACACAGTGAGTGATAGGTACCAATCATTGAATAAACACAGTGAGTGATAGGTACCAATCGTTAACTGTGTTAATTCAAGGAAAGAAAAGGCTGAAAAATGTGGCATATTTTACCAGACCCTTCCTCTACTTTCCATCCTGATAGATCCTATTGTGTACTTGCAGCTGCTGGTGAGGAGAGGAGGGAAACCAGGAGCACTGCGTGGGGGTACACAGGGGGGCCTGTACAGGGAGGGTGATGGGAGCAGTGGGTGGGGGCAGTTACTGGAACCGATCCGCTGCATGACTCTCTCTGGAGCAGCTTAAAGCCAGCGGGAGGGATAGGAGAAGAAGTCAGCTTTCAACTGCTGCAGAGAGAGCCATACAGGTACCAGTAAGTGTCCTCCTGCCGAACACCGTCCCTGCCCACATCGGATTCACCCAGCTACCTGGGCCCCATACATGAGGACTGGTGATACCCCCTTATCCATGGCCCTGTTCATTGGCATGGTTTACATACACTTTAAGGACATGTGTGCTAAGTAATGGTTAAATATAACATTTCAAGTATTTATCACCTTTCACTTCAACTATCAAAGTCTTCATGTGCTTATATCTCTGGAAGTACAGAGCCATCCTTGTTCAGGCACCATTCAGAGTCACCATCTACTTCTTGGACTGGGATGTGGCTCAGAGTTGACACCCAATGTATCTCTGTCATTGGCAAGTTGACATTGCCGACAAGATTGCCAACGTGACACTGGCTTTGGTGCTGACACTTTAGGATTTCAGTATGTGAGAGAGAGCAAGGAGGCAGTTCCTGTCCCTGCAAGAAGTACATTGTGTTTCCACTTCATATAACCCAGAGTATAGAGCACAGCAAAGACAATTTACAGTCTGAATGATCACATGGGGATACCTCAGACCAGGGGTGCTCAACCTTTTGAAGATCGAGGGCCACTTAAGTGATTTGGTAGCTGGTCACGGGCCCCAATGAAATGAAATGATTCAGAATTCTCCACTTTCCTCCTGCAACTGCTGAAATCCGGCTTCTCCTCCTCTCCCTCCTGCCAGCTGCAGGGGGGAAATGGAGAGGAGATCCTGTATATGCTGCCCCCGCCACCCCTTCTGTCCAAGTGTAAAACAAAAAATGTGACAGGGAGGCCGCACGGGTCCCCTGGAGCATGGGCAAGGTCGCCAATGTGACCTCTGACACTTGGGGGGGGTAAAAATACAGAATCTCAGAATCTCAAAACCCCAAATGTAAGCATGTTCATACTGTCCTAAGCCACCTATAGGGCTTCTTTCACACTTATGCACTGTGGTTTACCTGAACCACTTGTGCAGTATATCTGCAGATTTCCTGCGGGTTAGCTGCGCTTTGCCATAGACTTCTATTACATCTTACAGGCGTGGGGCATTTTCTGAAAGAGCACCAACATTCCTGCATTCAGTTTGAGGTCGAGGGCCAAATCAGATTGTTCCAAGGGCCACATGTTGAGTGGGAACTGCCCCCTCCTCCTCCATTGAGAAAAGCCTGTGCATAGTTTACATTGTATGTAACAGTATCTGTGAATGGGGGAGAGTCAGCGGAATGACAGGAATCTCTCACCCCATTCACAGACTGTGATACATGCAGTGTAAAAACAGTGAAGGAACTTTTCTAAATGGAGAAGGAAAGGGCAGATCCCTACCAGGAACTTCACTGTAGATCCAATGCCTTTAAACATAACGGGTTATAAAAGGTTCAGCACCAGTAAGAGGACAGGGCATCCAAAAACAGAAGATTTCTACAGAATCCAGTCTGCACAATGTGGGACACTCTTCATTACAGGTAATGTTGCTGTAGCACTACCCCCTAGGAGTTGCAGAAGTTTGGGTCCCCCTATAGCCCTGCACAGCCAGGCAACATGCATTTCCACACCAACATGTGCCCAGGAGTCAGTGACTAGTCCATGAGCTTGTTTTTGGAGTTTTATTAGGGGAATTAAACTTGGATGGGGTAAGTGGTGCATGGGATGACCAATGGAATCGAGAAACCAGGGACAAATTCCTGAAACTATTTACAAGTCTTTACAGCAAAACAGTCTCTTTTGGAGAGCTAACCAGCATCTCCTGTAGTATCACCCCAGATAAATCCTCTTCTTTTCCCAGCTGTCTGGAGGAATCCCTGAGCAGGGGATTTGGTGTCCGCCACAAATTTTGTGAAACAGTCCTGGGTGGCAGGCTAATCCAGCTTCCCACAAGAGTGCCTCCTTCCCTTTCTGGCCCAGGGGGTGCAGGTTTACTCACTCAGTCCTTCTCCTGTGCTGCTGGTGGGTCAATGGCTGCTACCAGGTCTTCTAGCTGGACCACTCCTTCCCTGCTACACAGGTGGTCCTCACTCTGAGCATAATTTGACCCCTGCTAGCTACCACACCCAGGCTGCTAACAACTGGAGTCTAGCTCCCCCCCAGCTGACTAGGAAGGTGCTACATTACTAAAAGTATGGATTTTGTTAATAGCTATGCTGCAGCTTTAACCGCCTCCCGCCCGCCATTACCGCCTTAATGGTGGGCACAAGGCGGTTCTCTCATTCTGAGAGGACTTCATGCTGACAGCTCAAGAGGAGAGGAGAGCCGGTAATCAGCATTCCTCGGAGGGGACATGTACACAGATCATCAGGGCACTGATGATCAGTGTGCCCTGATGAGCAGTGTAGCCCCAGCAGTGCCACCTGTCAGTGTCCATCAATGCCAGCTGTCAGTGCTGATCCATGCCACCTGTTAGTGCCCAACAGTGCCACATTAATGCCACATACCAGTGCACATCAATGCCACATATCACTGCCCATCTGAGCTGTCATTTAGTGTCACCTAGCAGTGCCAGTCAGTGCCACCTATCAATACCAGTCAGTGCCACCTATCATTGCTGCCAATCAGTGCCAGTCAGTGCCGCCTATCAGTGTGCATCAGTGCTGCCTATCAGTGCCCGTCAGTGTTGCCTATCAGTGCCACCTAACAGTGCCAGTCAGTGCTGCCTATCAGTGCCACCGATCAGTGCCGCCTATCAGTGCCATATATGAGTGCTGCCTTTCAGTGCCCATCAGTGATGCCTGTCAATGCCCATCAGTGCCACCTACCAGTGCCTCCTCATCAGTGCCACCTATCAGATCGGCCTATCAGTGTCCATCACTGCAGCCTCATTAGCGCACATCAGTGAAGGAGAAAAATCACTTATTTACAAAATTTTATAACAAAAACTAAGAAAAAACTTTATTTTATTTTTTTTTTTTTTTTTTTTTTTTTTTTTTTTCAAAATTTTCAGTTGTTTTTGGTTAAGCAAAAAATAAAAAACCCAGAGGTGATTAAATACCACCAAAAGAAAGCTCTGTCTCAAAAAAATTATAAAAATTTCATATGGGTACAGCGTTGCATGACCGCGCAATTGTCATTCAAAGTGTGACAGCGCTGAAAGCTGAAAATTGGCCTGGGCAGGAAGGGGGTATAAGTGCTCGGTAGGCAAGTGGTTAAAATCCCAAAGAAAATTCAAATATCATAAAAACTGTATCTGTCATTCAGACAAGTGGCCGTATATAAAATTCATACTTCACTTTAATTATTTGGGTAAAAGTCACCAAATCCCAGTATTCATTTCAGATAAAGTACTTCTAGCATGGCATGAATAACTGCTTTTCTTGAACTTCCCTATGCGAGTATGGTCTCTGGTTACTATGGGGCAATGTAGGTCTTTTACGCCATTAGAGACTGCAAAGAGTATGTATAGCATAAACTTTTTTCTTCAATTATTTCCTGTCTCTATGACAATGGTCACAGGACAAATAAAGGGTTAAAGTATATGTAAACCATAACAATAAGCTTTACTCAAAGTGCTTCTAGAGGTTAACGGTTTTTACCCTAATGCATTCCCCCTTAAATACGTACCTGAGTCCTGCATTGATCCAGTGCTGTGTTCATCTGCCGCTCTTCTCTCCCCACTCTTACAAACGTGGCTGAGAGCAGCGAGAGACATTGGCACCTGTTGCTGTCAGTCAAATCCTGTGAGTTGAGGGTTGGGGGCGAGACCAAACAGCTTTGTGTGTGTCTTTGAATGCACACAGTCCAGCTCGAGAGCAAGCCTGCATGTTGGCCTCCATAGGATGTGGGTGGCACACGAAACAGAGGAGGAGCCAGGAATGCTAACAGGGGTCCCCAGAATAGGAGGTTGGGGGCCACTCTGTGCAATCAGGGGTGTATTTACCACAAGGCAAACAAGGCATTTGCCTAGGGCGGCATTTTTCAAGGGGGCAGCAGCATTTTTCAGGGGGCAGCACTGTCCCCTGAAAGAAGGAAAGGAAGAAGGGACACGTGCAGCACGGGGACCAGGTGGGATATGAGAGAGGCTGGGGGCTGCTTGATGGTGTATGCAGAGCCTGTGTCTTGTTTCCGGGGATGTCCAGAGCTGTGAAGGTGAGTGTCTTATCTCTTGCCGGGGGGGGGGGGTGACAGTGTATGGGGGGCAGTGGTAGTGGAAGGCTCTCTCGAGTGAGGGTGGGTGGGGGCTGGGGTGTTGTTAGTCAATGTCAGGCTCTTCTCGTGGGGTGTTGGTTGGAGTCAGGGTCTCTCCATGTAGGAAGGGGGGGGGGGGGTGGGACCAATTTTTGTGATGCCTAGGGCAGCACAAAACCTGAATACACCACTGTGTGCAATACCTGCACAGAGCAGGTGAGTCTCCTAGATTGTAAGCTCCCAGGATCAGGGCCCTCCTATCCCTCTTGTATTGAACTGTACTGTTGCTGTATTGTCTCCCATTATATTGTAAATGCTGAACTGTTGGCGCTATATAAATCCTGTATAATAATAAAATAATAAATAAAAAAATGTCTTTAAAAGCTCTTTAATTGCTCATTTTTGATCTGTTAAATAAACCATCAGGGTTAAAGAGCCAAAGGACTTGTCATATGCACTCATCAAGAGTGCTGACTATTCCCGTCCTATCCACCCCCTCCTCCATTCATAGAAGCTGTACTGTACAATAGCGTCTATGAATGAAAAACGATCTATGAAAGTGGTGGACTTTTAGTTCATCCGGTCCTCCCTCCTCTATTCATAGATTGCTCTTCATTGATGGAAGCTATAGTACTGCTTCTATGAATGGTGGAAGGGCTCTGAAAGTCAGAACTGTTGATGAGCGCATATGACAGGTCCCTTGGCTCTATTAACTACAGCAGCACCAGAAGATAACAATGACAGGGGTAGGGATAGAGGGTTGGAGGGCAGAACATTTAAAAAAATCCACAGCCATCAGCATAAGGGACACTTCTCATTGATAGTAAGTACAGTCCCTTGTGCTGATTTTTTCTAAAAATTATTTTGACTGAATTTGAGCTTTAATATGATATTATCTTCCCTGCATAGCAGAAATACCACAGAAAAAGCTTACAGTGTGACAGTGTTCTGACTAACAGATCTAATTCCAGGCTCCCCTCCACTACAAACACATCTGCCCTGGCAGATGCACAGCAAACATCTTGTTAAGGGAAGGTGTGGAATAACTGTACAGCAGGATAAATGAAGTCTCCTTTATTCCATGCTGAACACAGTAGCTCCTGTTTTCCATATGATGGCTTACATCTCTTTTAACAATCGGAGAAACATGAAAAGCTGCCTTAGTGACCACTGTACTGCTAATTACATCAGGAAATGCTCAGCTGAAGGAAAACAAGTTTCATAATGACATTTACCGCAAACCAGCAATCTACCTCTTGCAGTTTATTCAATAAAAGGGGGCAGAGATCAACGCACATAGCTGCCAGAGTGCAGCAACTCCCAACCCGAGAACATACTGGGAGATTAATAGAATCGGCTCTATTCTACATGCATGTGTATCTATGTGGCTGCAGTTCTGACATTAGACTGCAAGCTCCTTTACCTCTGCCACTGATGGGGAGGAATATACAGTAATAGCAAATAAAGTAAACAAATGGTTACCAATCAGAAATGGGCTTCTGCAGACTAATAAAGTGGAGTGGGGTTTCTATGGATTACTGTGCTTTGTAGATCATCCTTTTGCTCTTTATTGCACACCTTCCTATGTCAATTTCCAGGTTGTGCACATGTTCTTGATGACTTTACATTGTCCCAGACCCTCCAGGGCAACATTAACAGGTCTCGGCATTATTAGATCGTGTACTCTTTGCTCAGATTTATTGTTCCTTGTTTGGATTCTGCTTGCGCATGATTTGGGCGTATGCTGCTAGCCGAAGCATTTATAGCATTTTGGCCTCCTGAGGCAGTACTTCAAAAGCTATCTTAATGAACATTGCTGAAATTCAATGGGCTGGTAATGCTACCCAAGAAACACTGCAGCTAGGCTAAAGTCATAAAGTCCACTCAGTTCAGCGTAACCTGAGTTTTCTGTACTTCAATGCAGCCAGCTTCCAGGAAACTGGAGGGGTGTCGTGTGATCAGTAAAGGAAGCTCCCCCAGTGGCTACGCCAACATGTTACCGCCCCTTCCAGCAGGTTGTTTTTAACCTCTCCCTGCTGACACAAGGCAAACATCAGTGTAGCAGGGTGGGCAGGCCTTAACGTCCAGGTGCTGCACATGTGCATCCCATGGGGGTCTCAGGTTGTGTGCTGAGAGTGCTCCCAATGCACACTTCCACCACAATGACCAAACTTTTGCTGACAGCTCTCAGTCTCTGTGATTGGGAGCCAGTTGAACAGGCTCCCGATCAAGTAACCTCTTAAGACCCAACCATATAATTAGGATGATGCCTCTGCCTCCTCCTCCCAGTGTTAAAGTTGAAGTTTACTCAAAATCTTACTAAGGCTAAACTTACTCCCGCCCCCATTCTAAGCCTATTTTATCTAACCCTGTAAAGAAATTATATGTATACTTACCTATCCTGAAGCCGCTCCGGTCCCATTATCAGGTGTCTCCGGAGGCTTCTCTGTGGAGGAGGGACAGCCAACAACGGATGCCCCATAGCAAGCTTATGGGTGACGTCATCTCCCAGGAATTTGTGACCATTGTTGGCAATCTCGCATTTATACAAAAGTCACCGGACTGGAGCACCTTCAGAATAGGTAAGTATGTGCATCTTTTATTTACAGAGTTAGATAGAATAGGCTTAGAATGGTGGTGGAGGTAAGTTTAGTCTTAGATTTTGACTAAACTTCCATTTTAATGCCCAATTAAAGAGTCACCAGGAGTTGGTGGGAAGGGGTTAAGCAAGTTCCTGTAGGGGGGATATCTTTGGTGACACATTGGTGAGCCAACTACCCCATTCCAAACTAGAACCCATGATGGTGTCAAGCACCTTTTCTTACTTCCGGCTCGCTCTTACTCTTCATCTCGGCCCATTACACACATGAAATATTCAGTCGGGGGTTGGATTGCATTTTAAGGACTTTGCTTTACCATAACTTGTTAATGAGCAATCTTATGTTCACAAAGAGGCATTTCCAGTATAACATACATTTTTTAGTCTTGCTAGTACTCAGGTGCTTACAGTTTCATGGGTGCTCAGTTAGTCTCCTAAAAGATGGAACTTCTGTCCAGTCTACCCCCAAAAGATTCTGCAACACTAAAGGTAAAGTCCTTCCCAGCATGGGTACTCACAGTGCTTTGCAGTCTTTTCTGGTGCCATTAGGGGTTCTCTTGCTTCGCCTTTAAGGGGAAGCCCACACATATGATATACACTGGAACCTCATATGTGGCTTCTAGTCTTAATGTCTTTCCAGAAAATTACTCTCACTTTGTTAGGAAGCAGACTTGTTCCCTAGAAGAGTCGACCATGTGGACCAAACTCTCATGTTCATATAATGGTGGCTAACCCCTCTTCTTTCCTGTCCAGGACTCTTCTTTTGTGATGCAGTACATGGTATTTATATATATACCATGTCTGAACCAAAATGGACACTGAAATCTCATGACGGCACAGTGTCCATTCACAACACAGACCTCTTAAACATGGTACCTGGAGTTCACAGCAGAGGATACATTCATTCTATGCTGGGCGGGCTTCCCATAAAAAAAAGTTCCTACACAGATAAATCATGGACATTTGGGGAGATCTAGAGGCACCCAGGAGCAAATACAATGTGGTCCTCACACCTTGCTACATGTGTCTACAGCATCACTCCATCGCAGCTTTGCTCTGCAGT